CCACAGGGCCCAGGCACTGCCCTTGGCCAACCACCACCAATACCTGGTTCATTCTGTCTTCAGCACTGGTCATTTACTTATGCCAAGGCCAAGGTCTTCCCCAGGAAATTATTCTGAATATCTGGACAGTAAACATTGAGATCTGATTCCTCATAAGCACAACATATTTTTAGGGAGTACATCATTAACTATGCCTAATCGATTCTTCATTCATTGGAGTTATACTGATGACTAGATTAGCTGTTATTTTAAAATAAGACAGGTAACCAGGACTTCTTTTAGTTCTCCTACCCATTTAAAATTGTTTGTCCTCGCCCTACAATCTGGATGCTTATAAAGCTACAGAGAGCTATCACAAGCAAGCCTGTTCTTGAAATTCTTCTCAGAAAAAAAATGGCTCAGAACTCCTTCCCAAACTCGGAGTCTCAGAGAATGTCAGAGTTGACAAGATCCACAGTTTTCTGGTCCAGCCACCCTATGTCGGAAGTAAGGAAACAGACCTGAGGAGTTAAAGTGGTCTGTCAAAGGCTAATAGCTCATTTGTGGCAGAGCCAGATATGGAAGGTGGGCTTGTCACAGGCTGTCCTGTGGTACCACCACTTGAGACAGGCAACAGATAGGCACAATGTGGTCCAAACGTCCCCTCTCAAAACTCACATGCTTTTCCCTATGACAAGAAGTAAGGTCAAGACTGAAATAAACCCTCCTGATGTGATATCTCATTCATTCCTGCACCCAAGAAGAAGCTACCAGCCCACTCTGTGCCCCCATCTTCTCAGTCATACCCTCAGAGTGACTCACTTGTGGAGGAGGCAGTCCTCCTGCCCCCAGGGGACACACGGGTAGCATCTTCTTGATTTTGTCATTGCTACACTGACAGGCAGGTGAGGGGTTCTCCATCGTCCAGTTTCCATTTTGGAAGAAGTCCATGATGGTCTGGGGAACTTGGGAAGTGGTCCATTCCTCCTCCCCCACCAAGCAGGGCATGTCTCTGCAAAGAGAGGACATCAAGGGTAGGCTCATTTAGAAGAGTCTGTCGCCTCAGGAGTTGCAAGGTCCTATTTTAACCACAACTTGCATCTATCCTGCACCATCTGGAAAAGATGAGCATGATCTCATTTTACTGTTTGATCCCTCAGCAGCCTTGTAAGCTGTGACATTTGATAGATAAGGAAAATGGAACACAAAGAAGCCCTAATTGTTCATATACTGAACTCTATTCAATACAATCCTCCAGCATTTGTCCACACAGNGGCTTTTAAATATACACTGAGTAGTATATTCAGTTCAGTGGTTCAGTTGTGTCTGGCTCGGACGTGAAGTTGAGGGCTTTGTATTCAAACATGTTCAACACAATAAGCTGCTTGGTGATCAGATTTACCTGCCAACTACACCATGTCCCAGCAGCACTGGGCCCATTTTGACATGTCTCAGGATGGATACTGTACCTTGGCCAGCTTCAAGTGCTTCTTCACTAGCTTGATGGCATTATTAACTTCTCGACTCGGAGGAAGTGCTTGAGAATTGCTGACACCCAGGGAAAATCCGCCATACCTAAAAGAACAGCCTGACATTAAAACCTAGACAGTGTGGTGCACAATATCACTCAGCAGCAGATGCCACATGAGGGCCTACAAGCTTCACTGAGACAAGTTTCCTATACAAAGTTGGACTAAAATTTTACTCAGTTAAGTTACACCTCGGCCTCCTCTAATGGATTCTGGCAATCTCTTAACCCTCATGGTTCCTGCCTGGCGGGGAGGACCTGGCCTGATTACACAGAGCTAGACATCTGTGACATTGAGGAAAGAATGGCCATTCTTCTCACAGATGCTCCTTCCACCATGGTGGCTCAGGCCTGAACTTGGCTGTGGAGGCGAGCAGAGGGGAGTCAGGGTGAGTGGTGAGGAACACTGTCCAGCATGGCCTAGGTAAGGCTAATAGACAGGGCTCAGCCCTTTCTAGCACTAGGGCCACTATAGAGATAGGGGCCTGTGTCTGCTCTGCCCAGAGTTCCAGGGGTCCTGGCCCTTAGGAAGAACCAATAACAGGGACCCTTTGGGGTCCCTGAGGCAATCACATCAGTTATCTCATTTTTCCGTGATATATGGATTCCCTTCAAAGATTCTTCCTTCCTAGTCCCACCTGTTCCTTCAAAACCCAGAAGGACAGTTCTACTGAAAGACAGTGAAAATAGATGGTTTGGATGCCTCTTAATTCCTCCAAGACTTTCCTGGTCCCACGTTAAAGGCCTAAAAGACAGTCCTTGAGTCCCTAGGAACCCTTGGGAACTTGATTTGGGGGGGAAGCATAACTAAGATAGATATTCCCATCACAACATTGTACTTAGTTTAAATCCCAAGTGACCCACAAGAGATTTCTGAATCTCCTCAAGGAAATCAGTACACCAAATATTTCAGAGGCCTCTGAAATGGAAGCTGGTACCAAGCAGAGATGCTCTATGCAAAAACTCCAAAGCAAGTCTAGTCTAAATCTGTCTGTACCTCTGTGTTCTCCCCAAGTTCTGCAGGGCCTTTGTCCTGCCCACAGTGTGGTGGCACCCAAGAGTGTGTGAGCACCAAACAATCCTCAAACCAGCAACTTCCTTTGATCTAAGATACCTGCATCAAAATCATTCTCCTGAGCTAGAGGTGCCAGGGAGAACTGAAAGCAGAGAAAGAGATCAACTTACCTAAACTCATTCACCCAGATCTTGTTCTTTAAGCTGCAGAGAGTAAAGACAAAGAAATCAAAAATCAGTTCAAAGAAAGCATTGGTCCTATTCCTGATGATGCAGAAAGAGTAAGTATCTATCTGAAGATAAAGAAAGGGACAGAAATAATCATGTGATCAGGCTGGTGTTGTAGAGTTGTGCCAATGGAAAGAAGGCCATTCTTAGCACATCTTTTATTCTCTCCATCTTAAAAACCTTATTATTTATATCAGAATCACACCTTGGATTAAACCAACTTTAAAACAATCTTATAGACCAACATGTGACTGAACTAGAAGCCTTTTCAATTCAAAGTAATACTTCAACTGTGGATAACATATGAAGAGGTCATATGTCTCCTTGGAAACTTGTGGTCATTATCATTCCAGCATACTCTCATTGTTTAAAGTCACTGAGAACTCCTAACTCAGAGACCCCAACTGACCAAGCTGATAGGAAGGAAACCAGAACAAACATTTTCTGAGCAGCAACTAAGTATTTGACACTATGCTGCCTTGCCCCAGGAAGCTACAAGGCTCTTCCAAAGCTCCATAGCCAAGACCTGCTGCTAAGTCTTCCCAGGGCTCTCTTCGCAACATCATATGTTACTGGGGAATCCCTCCGTGGGAGAGAACCCAAGGTATTTTACATATATCCTTTCATCCAGTCCTCACAACAAACTTATAAGACCAACATTAATATCACATTTTATACAAAATAAGTCTTTAAAATGATAACTTGTTGCCCCTGATCAAGCAGCTAGTAAGAGGCAGAATTCAAATTTAAATACAGATTTATTTTTATTCCAGACCAGGCTACCTCAAACTTTAACCTGACAACTGAATGTTCACAATACCTCTCATCAGCTTTTCTAGTTTGGGAGAATGAGTATTCTAAACTTCCAATAGACACAATCAGGGTCTATTCAATGTTTCCTCCACCACTCCTGTCTACTATTTGTAGGCCTTTAATTCCTCTAATCAGTAATGACAAAGCAGGGGCCAAGTTTAGTAAATAGTCACCTTTTGGCTATGATCTGCACATATGTCTTCACGAGATAATCTGAAATGTTTCTTCCTGTCAGGTTTTGAAGGATGTCTGCAGTGTTCTGTTTTCTCTGTGATCACATAAAAAGCAAGCACATGGGTCTTCATAAACAAGAACTGGGGCAGAAAACAGATCAAGAACTACAGTGACTTACGTCCCTCTGACATGTACCACTGTGTGACCAGAACCCTGACCACAGGGCCCAGGCACTGCCCTTGGCCAACCACCACCAATACCTGGTTCATTCTGTCTTCGACTGGTCATTTACTTATGCCAAGGCCAAGGTCTTCCCCAGGAAATTATTCTGAATATCTGGACAGTAAACATTGAGATCTGATTCCTCATAAGCACAACATATTTTTAGGGAGTACATCATTAACTATGCCTAATCGATTCTTCATTCATTGGAGTTATACTGATGACTAGATTAGCTGTTATTTTAAAATAAGACAG